CCACCGGCTGGGCCCGCGAGCCCAGGCCGGCCGTTGGGCGCGGGGCGTTTCCGCTGCGCTGCCTCAGGCGCTTCCCTCGCCTCGGGCACCTCCAGCGGCGGGCAGCTTCCTTCTGGAACAAGAAACCTCTAATTGTAACTCCTGGGGGCGTTGAAGCCCCTGCGTTATTTTTGCGTCTCCTTCAGCCTTTGCGTCTGAGCCGTCTGCCCAGCTGTACGCGTGGACTTCGACGGTGCGGGGAAGGGAGGTGGTGTGTGTGTGGCCGGGCCGGGAGCTGGCGGTGCACAGCTTCTCTGCCTAGCCGCCCAGGGGGGGAGGCCTTGTGCTCCAGCCCTGCCCCTGCTTATGAACCCTGTGACTCATTTCAGCCACATCTGAAAGGGACAAAGGCCTCAAAAACCACTGAGGAGTGTAAGCATGCAGCTAGAGGAGAGCAATAGAGTCAGGATATATGCATCATCAGTGGACAGAGTAGGAGCTCAGGCATCATCTGTGCAACTTAGCAGTAGCCAGAATAACCACGTATTGGTGGTTATTGATTTTTTTTTCCTCTTCTATAAGTCACAAGTGTCCTTTTAATGTCTGCAAACTCTTAGAACCTGTAAAGGATTGTTGTGGTATAAATACACTGGGCCTGCTTTACCACTGCTACATACACAACTTGGGAAACAAAGCAAACGTACAAACAATCGATCTGACACTGCACCTGAGTAACTCCTGCAGGCTCCTGAGGCCTTACAAGAAAGACTGACATGTCATCCAAATAAGGTGCTGAAGACAGAAGAAAAAGTGCTGGGGGCGGGGGGGGGAAGCCGTGAGACTCTTCAGAAATCTTTCAAAGGAAACTTGCATAAAGCAGTAATAAAAAAGTAATGATGAAATAAAAATGAAACGAGATAAGCAGAAAGGACAATGAAATGAAAGTAAAACAAGTTTTACAAAAGAAGCCTCCAGCTGAAGGAAGCTCAACTGAAAGCAGAATGCTGTAGCACATCTCAGCATGATAAGCAGCTGAGGGCACAATTTGAATTACAGGAAATACTAGGCTGGGAAAGGACCTCTGGAGACACCTGTGCTTTTAAAAGCAAGGCATTAAATCAAGGGCCTTGTCAAGCCAAGGCTTGAATATTTCTGTTGAGGAAACTCCCACTACTTCTCTGGGCAATATATTCCACTGTCTAATTGTTTTTACAGTGGAGAATATTTTTTCTTATACCTGGACAGAATTTCCCCTGAAGAAACGTGTTGCAATTGCCCCTTGTCCTCTGCACCCCTGTGAAGAGGGATCCAACTTTTAGGAGTTGGAGAACTGTGGTTGGATCTCCCCTGAGCCTTCTGTTCTCTAGGCAGAACAAACCCAGTCCCTTCAAACACTCCCCAATCACGTAAGCACCATGTTGGCCCTCCGCTGGACCCTCCCAATTTTTCACTCTCTCTCTTGAACTGTCCAGGACCAAAACTGAACACAGTAATCCAGGTGCTCTCTGTTTGCTCTATCATTTTGCTACAAAACATGAAATTGAGTCAAGGATCTGTTGCCTTACCTCGGAATCACACTGAGGTTCCCTAAAACCCCACAATGGAAACCAAGCCTCCTCCTGAAGCTCAGGGACATCTACCATATGGGTGAAACCACATCTCGGGGAGAGACTGTCCAACAAACTCCTCTGGGAAGTTTATCACATGCATCACAACCTCCTGCTCTGTATGCAAGGTGCAATTCTTCAAACCTAAAAAAAAAAAGGGCACCAAAAAAAATCTCTTTGAGACATACCCAAAGTAAACCATTACAATATACAAGTCGGCTTTACTTTACTGATGGCCTTTTGTGTGTCTGTATTCTGCAAAAAGGCGCATCCTGCAAATCCACCCCCGTCACGCGGGGTTACCACTGCCCGCGTGCCTCCTTTCCCCGCCGGCGCGTGCCTGGCAAGCCCGCCCAGTGCAGAAAACCCTGGCAGGCTGGCGGCCGGCCCTAGAAACTCATGAGCTGGAAAGTGAAGGACACGCTTCAGTTTATGGTTGTTTCTTTAAACTCGTGGTTCCTGTTAAAGGGTTCCTTTTAAATATTTAGGAGCAACACTGAGCCGTGCCCTTTCCTCCAGGCGCCGGCCGTCCCGCCCCGCCCCGCCCCGTCCCGGCG